ATTTTTGGAAGGATTTTCCTCTGAGAAGCGAAAAAACACTCTAAACGTAGATCTTGGGGGGGGCCAGCATATATATATATACATACAGACATTACATGATATGATTTGGAGTAATCTATATATTGCATTATATGATCTGAAATAGGGTATATATACATATAACCCTAAACCCTAAACCCGATCTGAAATTATATGTAAATGCATATGCAATCCACGTATGGAAGCAACCCTGGGATCCATTGTCACATGCAGGGCGCCTCAAGCCTTGGATCCAACCTGAGGGTTTTCAACCCCAAAGTCCTTTGAACCCTAAGGGTCCAAGGACCCAAATAATAAGGTTTTAGGGCCCAAATACTATAATATCCATGGTATTTGGGACCTAAAACCTTATTATTTGGGTCCTTGGACCCTTAGGGGAATAGTTTGGGGTTTAGGGTTTAGGGAGCACCAGAAGCCCTAACCCCTAAATACCAACTCAAAAGCCAAAACGCGGCTGAGTGTTTAGGGGTTTACGGTTTAAGGCCTTCTCCATTCCGCCCTAAACCCTGAACAGTACACCCTGCAATGGGCCAAAGGCCTCCAACGTCAGATTTGGTCCAGCCTAAACCCTAGACCCGAAATAGTAGTTTCCATTCTATTTTCCATTCTCCCAATATAACCCTGACATTACCCTAATATCACCCCTAAACCCTAGCCCTGAAAACCAAAACCCTCAACGGCCTCCAACTACAGCTTAATATAACCCATGATAATTGCAGTTTCCATTTACTCTTCCATGTTCCTTTCATCCCCGTTTGACTCTCCATAATTATTCTCGGTATTATCCTTAAAACCCATATGATGGGTGCCTCCAACTACAGATTTTGTCCAGTCTGGCGATGTCTCGTATGATGACCTCTTGGGCTCGGCATGCCTCGCTGTGCTGCCTCATGCCAGTAGGGTGGGTTTATATAGGGATAGTGGACAAGAAAATGGAAACTGCTATATTATAATAGTGTATACATTGGGGTTATTTCGGGTTTAGGATTTCGGGTTCAGGGTCATAATGGGTTATAGGGACATATACTAGACGGCTAGAGGGAGAGAGAGGGAGAGAGAGGGAGAGAGAGGGAGAGAGAGGGAGAGAGAGAGAGAGGATATAGACGTGTGTGTATGAAGATATGTATGGGTTATATAAGGGGTTCAGGATTTGGAGATTTAAAGTTTAGGGGTAAGGGAATAGGAGGCTTCGGGGATTAGCATTTTGGGTTGCATTCCCAAAGCCTCAATCACTTGGTATATGCTATCTATCGGGTTATATACGGGTATATAGGGTTAGCCTGTGATGAGGAGTGACATGTTGCATGAGAAGTGCTGCTCAAGGCCTTTAAGACACAGCCTGGAGGTTTGATCCTGCTGTGGAAAGTCCGGCAGCACTCCAATGCATGCTAACTTGCGTCTGCAATTCTGCAACGCTGCAATAATGTAAGGATAGGGTTTAGGGTTTAGGGCCTGGCCTCTAACACGAGGCCAGTGTTTGTTAGCCGCATTGGGGCGAGCCAACCAGCAAAGGCTGCGAAAAAATGCCAGCGCAGCCAACAAAGGAAGGGTGCGCGACCCTCGCGCCCGTACCATGGCTACAGACAAGCCCCGAAGCTTGAAGGGGACCTATATGAGCTATAGTCTGAACTCCAAGTATCCCCCTGAGTAACCCCTATGGTAGTCCTGTATATATTCCCCCATACAACCGCCTTTCAGGAGTTTAGACTACCGCTCACATAATATCTTCCATATGATTCTCCTTGGCTAGGGAATGGACATCTCAGAGCCAGAGGCCAGGCAAGACAGACATGTTTTGTGTGCACAGCGTGGCACGTTTACCGCGAATCCTGTTGCAGTCCCTATATATCCCTACATTCTACAAGCACCCCTTGTTTACTGAGGAACACCTATGTCCGCCAAAGCACCAGCTTGGCTGCAACTCTTCCAGGTCAGCTGGGAAGCTTGCATTGACACTCGCTGAGGTTGGGGGGCAAGTGATGGGTTCCCTATGGGAACCTCCCAGGAATTTGAACACATGAGCATGCAAGCACGCTGTATAGAAATGCGATGACATGCAGGGATATAGAGGGATGTACAGGGACATTTTGGAACATATGAGGTCTCCCCCGCAAAATAGAGGTTCATTTTTTGGGGGCCCCGAATATGAGTCAGGGTCTATAGCGGAGTCCTCCAATTGATGGAGAGACTACAGTATGCATTTACCAAGGAAAAAGAGGGGGGGGGTGATCTAGGTGGAGGAGCCAAAACCTCCTCCCCCTAATCACGAATCGCCTCAGCCCCTAACAGTAAACAGTCCCAATCGCATAATGTAGACCCAAACTGATAACCCACCTCCCCTTGATGGGGATTATCACAGGGATCCTAACATTAAGGCCCGTAAACGGAGGGGCATATTAATCATGGGTCTACATTACCGGGATGCCGGGATGCCAAGGAGGCATTGCTCATTATCATTGCAATTGTTATTGTTAAGGGCGTGGGATTTTTGTATAGATCGGACCGGAGAAGAACCTGAACCCCAAGTGTTTTCTTGCATCCAGCAATGCCGGGCTCGCAGACTGGCTACGATGGACAGCCTTTAAACCTTCAAACCCTGTACCCGCATCTTCAACCCTAAGCCCTAAACCCTATAATGGCATCGAGGCGGTCTAAGGTGTTGCACAGCAAAGCACCATCAAGCGGGAGTGCTGTTCAGGAACTTAAGGTACGGGTAAGAATTGGGGTTTTCCGCAGGGGGAGGGTTGGGAGTACATAGACGTCACAGGGGGTGTAGAGGGTTTAGGATGCAGAATTTAGGATACATTGGGGTTATATCGGGATAATGTAAAATAGAATAAACTGCTATAATGGGTTATATAGGGTTCAAGGTTTAGGGTCTAGGGTTCAGGGCTTTGAAATTACAATAATGGACGTTCCTCTGGAAAAGGGACTGCGGAATTGAATGGAACCTGGGGCTTTGTAGGGTGCGAAGGAGCTCCATGTCATGTTATGATTTACCATATAATACCAGGTCCTCATTTCATAGCAAGTTCCTTTAAGTTCCTTAACAGCAACTTAGCCAAGAGCCGCGTGAAGTCATGCTGGAACATCTGCCCAATGCGGGTTCAGGGTTTAGGACTTAGGGGTTTAGGGGTTTAGGGTTTTAGGGTTTGGGGGTTTAGGGGTTTAGGGTTTACGTTGGCGTGCCCACAACAAGGGGCTCAGGCTTCTGGCAGTTCATAGCAGCGGAAAAAGCCTAAACCTTAATCCTGAAAAACCCTCTAAACCCCAAACTGCCCACTACATCCTGCTAACCCGAAGCATACAAACCCTGAGAGCCAAATTCCCATCTATTCAACATCACCAAATTTCCCCTACCCTAAACCCTAAACCCTCAAGCCCGGGTAAATACAAGTTGTATAGGACCAAAGATAAAACGGAAACCCGAACAATACTCGCTCAAAACCCGGCCTAGACTCTGGACCTTAACCCTATAGAATTTGTATAAAACCCTAAACCCTTAAACCCTAAACGCCCAAAACCCCAAACCCCTGAACCCTCAACCCTAGACCCCGAACCCTTAACCCTAGACCCTGAACCCTTAACCCTTAACCCTGAACCCTTAACCCAAAACCCTAAACGTTTGGAATCAGAGCTGCCTGGGATCCCAGCTTGAGCCTCGCGAGGCCCCTCCCCGCACTTCGGGGGCCATATACAGAGCCTCATCTTAGGGTTTAGGGTTTAGGGTTATAGCCCTAAACTATTTAAGGGGGGCTATATGAGCCCTCGACTCAATTTGTAGTATATCACTTATTCGGTCCCCTCCCAAGACCCTATACATTCCCCTATAAATCCCCCAACCTGAATTTAGTCCGTAGCTCATTTGGAGGATTATGTAGGGGGCTCCGGCTTATGAAGGGGGATACTAGGAGTTCATATTAATGTAGACCCCTGATTAATAAACCCCCTCCTTTTAATGGCCTTAATATTAGGATCCCCATTGTAATCCCTGTTAAGGGGAGGGGTTGATTAATCAGGGGTCTACATTATGCCTTGTCCTGCCTTGCCTGGAGGCCTGCTAGAAGGTAGGTTCAGGGTTTGGGGTTTAGGGTTTGGGGGTTACGGTTTAGAGGTTCAAGGTTTAGGGTTTAGGGTATAGGGGTTTAGGGTAACAGATTGTTGGGGAGTAGAATGGGTTTACGTGAGGATAATGGGTGGTTCTCAGCAGGGCAAAGGCGATAAGTTTATTAAGTTCGTCCTTATAACTTATCCAGTCTAACGAGGACCTCGAAGTAGGGCCCAGCGGCGCTTGGGGGCTAAGATCCCTAACTTGCTGGCTAGTGCTTTGGTGCAACTAGCGGCTTTGAGGTTATATCATTGCATATGAGCTGTAGTCTAAACTCCTTAAAGGGGGGTTATGTAAGGGGTTATAGAGGGGACTACTATTGGGGATACTACGGGGGATACTAGGAGTTTAGACTATAGCTCATATAGGAGTTTAGGGTCTAGAGTTTAGGGTAGAGCTTTCTTGGGAATTTTCTGCAGAACTTTTTGATTCGCGAAAATACTTTGATCAAGGTTAGAACAGAACCATGCTGTATAATCCCCTCCCCTTAACTCCCCTCCCCCCCATATTCAATATGATTTTATAGTCCCCCTTAAGTAGATAGAATATGGCTTTGACTATATTCTAATAAGGTCCCCATATACCCCATATTCTATCTACTCAAGGGGGACTATATGATAATACCACAATGGGAAGGTCATCTTAGGATAGCATTCGATTAGGTTAAACGCTAACTGGCCTCCCTTGTATACACCCCATAAGCGCATGATCCCACAGGTATAGGGGCGGAAAGAGGGGATCCGGAAGCTTGAAAATTGGCACTCACTCTGAACCTGAACCATAAACCCTAAACCTTAAACCCCAAACCCTAAACTGAGGAAGGTCTGACATCACCGACTGCGCTGTTAGCCTGCTGCTTTGAGCCCTTTCACCAAGTGGGTACGGAATCTTGCGCCATTTGAGCCACTGTCTAAACTCCTAGTATCCCCCTTAATAACCCCTATAGTAGTCCCTTATATAATCCCCTATATAACCCCCCTTTAAGGAGTTTAGACTATAGCTCATTTGAGTCCCAGGGTTTAGGGGTTGTGAGGTCTGTAGGGTGTTGGGATTTCCTTCTTCAACAGACGAAAAGTGGACGAGAGGCAAGCCAATCCCTTCTATAGCCCATGTTAGGACCATGTTCTGAATAAGTACTACTTGGGGTGAGGTCAGGCTCTTGTTTCTACACTCCCTCAAGGACTCGCGCTACCCGAAAGGAATTTCATCGCATTATTGTCCCTCCCTCAATGAAAAGAGTCTTAATCATATCTTCTGTTCAGATATCTTCCCCCTACCACTTCACCTCAACCCTAGCTTGAGACTGTCTCAGCACACAGAGTTCCCCTGGACACCCCTTGAATGGTCTCCCAGCATCATGGAATGAACTCCGGACTGCTGAGGCCTGTGCAGTTCCAACCTTAGGTACATAGGGTTTGAGGATTTAGGTTTCGGGTGTAAGCCTTAAACACAAAGCCCCAAACCCTGAAATGGCTGGGAATTGGGAATTGGGTTTGGGGATGGAGGGGGTTTTCATTGCGAGGGCCTACAATGGATATCCTTTCCACCATACCCAAACTAAGCACGCAGTTTAGGGTTTAGGGGGGTTATGGTTTAAAGTTTAGGGGGGTTATGGTTTAGGGTTTAGTATAGGGTTTAGGGGGGTTATGGTTGAGAGTTTAGGGTTTAGGGGGGTTATGGTTTGGGGTTCAGGGTTTGTCGACGCAGCGGCTAAGCATGGGAGAGCTGCCGATATGGACCGCGGGCGTGGCGTAATGGGTCCCAAGTCGGCGTTACCAACATCCTGTCTTTCTACAGAGTGTTTTAAGGGGTTGAGCTTACACCAAAATCTTACTACTATGTACATGTGTTTTTATCTTACCCTCAGATTTGCACCCTAAACCCAAATTTAATCCCTAAACCCTAAACCCCTAGTCCACAGACCCTAAACTCCCTACGCTGCGGCAACCTTCAGGATCGTCTGTGGCCCCAAAGGCTCTCCGCGCAGCCCCATTCATGGGGCTACTACGCATCCCCCCAGTATCGCACAACTTGAAGGTTAAGGGGTTCAGGGTTTAGGGGCTCATTAGGCACCATTTTTTGATGTTAGGCGTATGAAGGCTTATCAGGCCTTACATTGTTTTGGCGGGGGTGCATAGGGGAGGGGCATGATAGTCCTATCTATGTACCTTAAACACTAAACCCAAAGGCCGAGGGCGAGGCTCCTGTTGACTGCTGTCGCGCGGAGGAACCTTCGCCATCGGCTACTTAGGGTCCCTGTCATGGGCTTCTTGGAATATAAAAGGATATGAATGGTACGTAGGGTCCCTTTAAAGGGTTTATAGGAATAGATAAGGATATGAAGGCACATATAAGGATCAGGGTTTAGGGCTTACACTCCTTGAAATAAGATGGAACCTGAAGAAGACGACTGTCCTTTCAAAGGGGGACTATGTGAAAGTTTGGTGCAGTTCCCGGAACCGGAATGTAAGTCCTGTGTGGTTTCTAT